TATTGATCTTGCTAGCTATGTCCTTTGCCATGCAGAAGATCTGCAGCTTCATGCAGTCCCATTTGTCTAAACTTTCTTTGATTTGTTGTGTTTCTGGGTCTCTATTAAGAAAATTTCGGCCTGTGCCAAGGAGACCTAGGGTTTCTCCTATTCCTTCCTGTAATGTTTTCAGAGTGTCTGCTTTGGCTCCGAGGTCTTTGATCCATTTGGAGTTGATTCTGGTGCAGGGTGATATATAAGGTTCTAGCTTTAGTTTTCTATAGGTGATTAACCAATTTTGCTAGCACCATTTACTGAAGAGACTGTCTTTCTTCTATTCTATTTTTTAGCTCCCTTATCAAAGATTAGGTGGCTATAGGTCTGTGGGTTCATTTCTGGGTTTTCAATTCTATTCAATTGGTCCTGAGGTCTGTTCTTGTGCCAGTACCAAGCTGTTTTGCTACCAGCACAACTATGTTTATTGCAGCATTATTTACCATAGCTAAGATACGGAACCAACCCAGATGCCCCTCAGTACATGAATGGATCAAGAAAATGTGCACACACACACAATGGAATTCTATGCCTCCATCAGAAAGAATGACATTGCCCCCATTTGTTAGGAAATGGTAAGACTTGGAAAAAAATTACATTAAGTGAAGTCAACCAGGCCCAAAGAAACATAGGTCCCATGGTTTCCTTTATTTGCAATAACTACTTTATGTCTGGGACAAGTAGAAAGGCTCAAAAGCTGCATACATATGGCCAGATAAGATGAAGTTAAGCGAAATTAACCCGAAGATAGGGACAGGAGTGTTTTGTTTTTCTTTCTTGCTGTTGTTTCCAACGTATTTATAAGGTACCATGTGATTTTTTTGTTGTTTTGTATGTCCCTCTCCCACGGCGTGACCCCTGTTTTCACTGTATTTGATGTTGGTATAATTTGGGGAGGGGAAGGGAAAAAACAAATTGTTTAAATAGCGATACAGGTGGACCCATTTAAACAATGAGATGTAGAAGACACTGTTGAAAAATGAACTTTACAATTTAGGGATGGGGGGGAGTGTAGTTGTGGTGGGGGGAGGGAAGAGATGGTAGGGGAAAAACAGAGGAGGAGGCAACACTGCTTGATAAGAAATGTACTCATTACCTTGCTCATGTAACTGTAACCCCTCTGTACAGTATTCTCACAATAAAAAACTTATTTAAAAACTCATCTTTAAGAAAATTATATATTAAGGCTTAATGTTGTAAAGATATTTTTAAGGGCTTGAAGGAAAACCCAAAAAGTTATGAATTGAGGAGAGTGTAATTTGTTGGACATTTTCTGCCACCAATCAATCCCATAGAGTGATCCAACAGCTCATCTTAAAATGATGTAATAGTTCCTAGAAAAGATGACAGACTCAAATGTGCACTTTCGAAAAAGGATCAAAGTATTGTTTCAGTAAAAAATGCCCACCATAAATAAGATGATATAATAAAGTAGATGAACAGATAAGATACTCATAGTGTTCTTGAAAAGCAAGATCTATCTATGAAATAGCAACCTAGATAATCTATGACCAAAAATTATTAGTGTTTATTTTCTTTTGGACGGACTTGCCAGGCGCTGGTGGCTCATGCCTGTAATCCTAGCTACTCAGGAGGCTGAGATCTGAGGATCACGGTTCAAAGCCAGCCCGGGCAGGAAAGTCCATGAGAGTCTTATCTCCAATAAACCACTAAAAACCCGGAAGTAGTGCTGTGGCTCAAGCGGTAGAACACTCGCCTTGAGCTGAAGAGCTGAGGGACAGCACCCGGGCCCAGAGTTCAAGCCCCACAACCGACAAAAAAAATAAAATAAAATAAAAATAAATTTAAAAAATTAAAAAAATGGACTCAATCTTCACTTAATGCACTAAAAGTAATTTTCATCCTTGGGAAACAATTTTTTCATTATTTAGAGAATACTTTATTAGTTTCTGTAATCAAACCCAAGTAGGTAAGGTCTTACATATTTAATATAGAACATTCATTTATCCTGGTACAAATGAAAAAAATAATAAATTAAACATTTAACAGACCAATATGACTGTTAATTTCTGTACAATGCCAACTCAATATGGTAAGCTGGGGTAGTTTTTCCAAAATTGACAGCACAACTAAAGTTTCTAATAATTCCAATTATATATGTGTATTTATTTTCTATCAAAAGATTAATAGGAACAGTATGCTATGCATCAATAGCAGCAACAGATTTTTTTCCAGGCTTTGCAGTCATCTGAACAAAGTTAGACAACTAACATTCCATTAATAACAAGAAACAAAAAGATTTTTAAAACCCTCCCTGAAATGAGAAGTTTCCTTACTGCTTTGGTAACTAGCACCATGTTTTTAGCTTCTCAATCATCATCTGGAAAGAAAACATTCTTTGGTAACATATTAAAAGCAGCTCAGATAAAGCACAGTCACTACTATGTATCATTCAGCAGGTTCGAGGTATTTTTACCTTCACAGAGGTATGAGACAGTACTGTCTTATGCCTATAATAGTAGAGGATACAATTTAGAAGTCATTATTGAGACTTGAATCTACTTTTCTAGCAGAGGATCCAAAGGACAGTCCTCAGGGAACTCTTAAGCGTTGGAAATTCATCGAGCTGCCAGTAGAGTAAGACACACTTTCCATTATGAAAATCATGAAATTACATTCACTATAGGAATGGCAGTTTAAAATCATTAAAACTGGGGCTGGGAAAGTGGCTCAGTGGTAGAGCGCTTGCCTTGCATGCAGGAGGCCCTGGGTTCGATTCCTCAGCACCACATAAGCAAAAAGAAAAAAGCCGGAAGTGGTGCTATGACTCAAGTGGTAGAGCGCTAGCCTTGAGCTGAAGAGCTGAGGGACAGCACCCAGGCCCAGAGTTCAGGCCCCACAACCGGACCCAAAAAAATAAAAAAAATAAAAAATTAAAAAAAATTTAAAAAAAATTAAATAAAATCATTAAAACTGGAAGGGAAAAAACAAATCATTTAAATAGGGTTACAGGTGGACCCATGGCAACAATGAGATGTACAATTTGGTGGGTGAGAGATGGGAAGGGATGGAAAGGGGAAACAAAGGAGGAGGCAACAATGCTTGATAAGAAATGTACTCATTACCTTGCCCATGTAATTGTGACCCCTCTGTGCGGTATTTTCACAATAAAAAAAACTACTTGACTAAAAAAATAATAAAATCATTAAAACTATTTTATCTGTGGAATTGAAGGAGATCTTGTTTATAATATTCTCTGAATTTTAACTTGTAATTATATCTGGAAGCTGCTGACTACTGCATTGGCAGACACTTTCTATGATTATGGTAGAACATGTTGCTAATAAATAATCATTTCTGTCATCCATATCACTTGGAAATACATCAGATTACAACTGGGTAAGAAAAGATTCCTATGGTCCAGCTTTCTCAGAAGTAGCCACAAGCCTGGACTTTGACAGTCATGTGTCCTTCAAATGATGAGTCAAACCAACATGGTTGGTGCTAGTTTTCTTGTGGAAATAAGATCCTAGAGCAGCAGTTTTTACTTTATAACAAGCAAATCTAGATCGAGTGACAGCATAAGAGAAACAATGAAGCAGTATAAGAAAGTGAGAGACGACGATTGATTCATGTAAATACAATAAAAGATAATAGCATCCAATAAATAACATGAAATAAAGTGACTAATCAATGTATAGCTATTATGAATGAATAATGTAGACTAGCATATTTTTTAAAAAAGTACAGTGTCTTATATTAGCGAAAAGTATAACCTCTATCAAGAAGTCAAAGAAAAGCATAAGTATATTTTAATGGTTATTTCTCATTTTAAAAAAGACCATAAAGATGGTAGAAGTCAAGATAAATAAGAATGAGAAGAGAGAATCTTGAACCTCAATTAGGTTTCTCCTCTCTCTGGTAATCATATTACCACCAACAGATCTTAGATTACCATTAGCCTTTATAAACTTTACCCCTTTCGGGTTGAAGCTCATCATTTTCTTTTTCATGAATTTAAAGACCTTAGGGCATTGTTTTCAACTTTCCATTCCAGATAGATGATCAAATCAAAGTTGACTATATCAGGCAAATAATGACAGGAAAGAACTTGGGATTTAAATAAAGAAACAGGTGAAGCATAGTGAAGCAAAAACTACCCAAAAGGAGTAAGAAAGTGTCATATAAGAAAAATAACATATAATAAAAATGACAAAGCCAGAGTTTAAGGGATTCTGAATCAAAGAAAGGGAAAAAAGAGAAACTGAATAAATCAAAGTACATTTAGCTCTGGGAAAAAAACTACCTAAAATGCACAAAACAGTGTTATTAAGCTGAAAATATAAATTCTGAAGACAATAAAATATGTGTAGATACAAACATAATTAGAATTGATGTTTATGTGTATGCATGAAAACATCACAATGAAATCCATTATTTTATAAAATTAATGTATATCCATATACTAAACAAAAAATTAAATTAAGTGAAAGATTTTTACTCTCTAATGGAGAAAAGGACCACAGAAGAAATGTCCCTGCTTGACATTTCTTATAATTGCTAGCAAGTTCGATTAATAAGGGCTCAGACCATACATTCTCTACTTTGTGTTTAGTGGCAAAGTAATTAACTCCCTAGATCTTTGTTTCCTAATTAATAAAATGGAGATGTTTAAAATACTATCTACCTATATTCCTCCCACGGTTGTTTTGGGAACAAAACTGATAATATGCAGGTTAAGTGCTAAGCATGGGTCACTGGCACATAGCAAATAATAATTGTCATCACTGTAATTATCAATAACACAGTTGAAATCAGACCTCAGGGATAATTCTGTTTATTTTATCTTTTTTTTCTTTCATCCAAAGAAATAAAAACTGAAGGACTCTACCCCAGATGACCATCTCTGTAATCCACCTCATCTCCAAATGCTGATAAACATTTACATGGAAAGCATATTTATCTTCTTCAAAATCCATTTTAAGCTATTGAACTAATACTCTCACCTTGGTAAATCATTTGAAATATACTGGACAATTGCATCCACAGCATTCTCATCCAGTACCTCCATTGGTTTCATCAGTGAGGATAAAGACCCACACAATGCTTCTCTGGGATCTTTTGCTTCTTCTATTTTGGCCACTTTCAGCTAAGAATGTTAAAAAATATTTAAATTAGAATTTCAAATTGGTAATGAGCATTTTCACAATTTTCTTCCCATCATGTTCTATACACAGCAATTATTAATAAAAAGTAAAAGAAGAAAAATATAAACACAAATCTCTAATTGGAATAATCCTAGTTATGAATAAAGAAATCTTAATTTGTTGTGAAGTATTTTAATTTTTGGTGTTTCCTAGAACACTGCTCATCTAACCAACTCATATGAGAATATGTTAATGAAAAAGCACAGCACAACGCATTTTAATGCATTTTTTTCGTCTACTCTCATCCCTTCCTTTTTGAACTCCTTTTAAAAGCACTTTCCTCTAAGACTTCTTTTTGTCACAGAATAAAGTCCCTGCTCTCAGAGATCATATTCATGTTATTGCTTTCCCACCCAAGTTTATTGTGTTAAAAGCTCAAAGACATAGCCTCTGTGTTAAGGGAAAGACAGGCATAGAGAACATGAATAAAAGACCAGTCTCCAGGCTTACATATAGTGTCTAGACACCATCTTTGGTTGTAACATGAGCTCAACTGTAGAGTAAAAGCTTATCAATGTGTGTGGCGGGGAGTAAGTTCCTAAAGAAACCACAAAGCTAAGCTAAAATCTTATGACTGACCTCTAAGTCAGATCTCAAACATTGTATAAGCGAGAAATAAAAATGTGTATCACTCTAGCAGATTCTCCACTGATCTTCTCAGATGTGACCATGGAATAAAATGTAACAGGACAACCTTTCCCCAGAGCCAGAGTGATGGAGTCGTCAAGGAAATTGCTCCACTCCAAGAGAAACAAGCCTTTGCAATTCCCATGTAACTTAGCATTAATAGTCATCCAGAGATGTGGTGGATGTACTGCTTTCTACTGTAGAGTTCACCAGGCCACCTGAACTTAAAGAAAACATTATACATCAACCCACCAGCCTAGATTCTGAGCTATATTCAAATGAATTGAATTTGAAGTTTTCTGCACATGATAAACACAAAGATATTTCAATGGTCAAATTACTGGATTGTGAGCTGGGCACGGGTGCTCACACCTGTAATCCTGGCTACTCAGGAGGCTGAGATCTGATGATCACAGTTCAAAGCCAGCCAGGCGAGAAAGTCCATGAGACTCTTTTTTTAAATAAGTTTTTTATTGTGAAAATACTGTACAGAGGGGTTACAATTACTTGAGCAAGGTAATGAGTACATTTCTTATCAAGCATTGTTGCCTCCTCCTTTGTTTTTCCCCTACCATCCCTGCCCTCCTCATCTCCACGATTATGCCCCAACCCCGCAGCCAAAGTTGTAAAGTTCGTTTTTCAACATAGCATCTTGTACATCTCATTGTTGCAATGGGTCCACCTCTATTCCTATTTAAACAATTTGTTTTTTCCCTTCCCCTCCCCAAATTATACCAACATCAAATACAGTAGAAACAGAGGTTATACTGTGGGGGAGGGACATACAAAGCAACAAAGAAATATCTTATAAATATTTTAGAAACAATAGCAAGAAAGAAAAAAACCACTGTGTCCTTATCTTGGGGTTCATTTTGCCTAACATCATCTTATCTGACCGTTTCTGCTTGTCTCAGACATATACTAGTTATTGCAAATGAGGGAAACCATGGGAGCTATGCTTCTTTGAGCCTGGCTTACTTCACTTAATACAATTTTTTTCCATGAGACTCATCTCAAATTAACCAGCAAAAACCTGGGAGCAGAACTGTGCCTAAGGTGGTAGAGCACCAGTCCTGAGTAAAAGGCGTAGACAGCATGCAGGCTCTGAGTTCAAGCCCCAATATCAGCACACACAACAAAAATGTAAAGAAAAAAGTAGGTTAATCTACTTGTAAGTTAAAGCAGTTTGAACTATGTGAATATGGTAGACGTTTAATTATTATTAGATGAATCTCAATAGGAAAAGATACACATCTTCTCACAGTTTAATAAGACAAGGTGCTTTTCTCTTCCCAGAACGCTTGTGGAAATTCCATTGGAGACCAAAGAGCTATTGGCTTTCATACTGTCTATCACATTCCAAGCCTCTCATTTATTTCTGAAGACTTAAATCCAACCCTTAAAACATTTTGCCCACCCTCCTTGGATTCTTTCATAAGTTCAGTCCTTCCTAACTAGAGACTATTGATTTTTAAAAGTACAGCAGCATATACTTATGCAGAATTAGAGAGTAAATTATTTTGCAGAATGAAATCTTTTTGACTATTCCAGTGTGTTTATTGCATAATTCAATTACTTGAAAATAAATGTGCACTTGTTCAGAATTACCTCATGAAATATGGCAATCATTTTTACTTATGCTTGCTTACAACCTTAATTTTCAATGAAAGAGAATAATTTTAGAGATGGGTAGTTTTATTCTGTAAAATAATTTCAAGATGCTTTAGGAGAATCAGTTATGTAAGTGTAAAATCATTACCATTATTAAGCCACAGTATTTCTTCTTTACTGTTACTATAAAAAAACAGTGCCAATTCTTCTTTGCTGTCACTATAAAAACAATGACACCCCAGTAAAACTTGAACATGTTCACAGGGTAAGTATAATATGCAGAACAGTATGTCAGATAATGTTTCTTACCTTATTAAATAAATAGGACTAACTGAACTAATTACTAGTCCAAAATTAAAGAAACAAAAGCATGTTGATGGACATTAAATGCTATGGGGTAACAAACATAAATGGAAGCACTGCCTTATGGTTTATTAATCCATGCAGTTTATTTACTGACATACTAACAAGCTACTAGCTGTTACTTCCTATTGTAACAGTTTTACATGAATATGTGTTCCTTTCTCTCATGCTCATTCTGCAATCCAATCCATTATTATCAACAAAAGGTATTTGAGTCCACAGTGGTTATGGCACTTGGGCACTAAAGCCAGGCAGCATCTAGACAGCATCTGGGTTTGCATCCCAGTCTCTGTGTCACTTTGGGCATGTCACATAAGCTATTTGTCCTCCAGTTTCTTCATCTGTAAAATGGGGATTCAAAAGTGCCCATCTAGTAAAGCAGACAAATTGGCACACGGTTGGTGCTGTATGTCAGCTACTAAAGAACCGTGTTTCCGTGTGCTCAAGTTGGGGAACTAAGTCTCTAGTAGCATTTCATGGAGCATTTTCAAGGAGCATGCAAGTATGGATAGTTTAATGATTATCAGTTTCCAGATTCTTCTCTCCCATATATATGCTTCCTGGCAGAGCATTTTCCCAACAAGCTGCCTGTCAGAATTACACTTCTTTTATGCTCATTGCAGGCCCTCAAACCCAGAGGCAACTTCACAATGGCTTTAGTCATGTTTTAATGTAGTATTATATCTACACAATACAGTTTCAGCCATTAATAATAAAATTTTGTTGTTTCCTGAAAAAGATGGAAAGGAGATCATTATGATCATGATGTTAATGGAACAAGCCTATGGAAACTAGCAAGGGGTGAAGGCGGGGAGGGAAATAAAACAAAAAAAAACCAATACCATGCTGGGAGCCGATGGCTCATGCCTGTAATCCTAGCTACTCAGGAGGCTGAGATTTGAAGATCACGGTTCAAAGCCAGCCCTGGCAAGAAAAGTTTTTGAGACTCTTATCTCTAATAAACCACTCAGAAAACCAGAAGTGGTGTTGTGACTCAAGTGCTAGAGTGCTTGCCTTGAGCTGAAGAGCTGAGGGGCAGGGCTCCGGTCTAGGATTCAAGCCCTGTGACCAGCAAAAACAAAACAAAAAACAACAACAACCAAAACCAAGACCATGATAATGAAAGGGGAACCACTAGGAGGTGAAAAGACAGGAAAAGAAAAAAGACAGAGCAATAGAGGGAGTGTTCAAAATCAAACCACATTATATACTCCTAAAGAAATGTCATGATGAAACCCTTTTTTAAAAAAAAACAATTTAATTTATGCTAAGAATAAAGAGAAATTTAAGTAACACTTCACTAATCTGTAACATATATGGATTTTTTTCTTCATGATGTTTGGTTGGTTGGTTGGTTCTCGTTTGTTCTTTTGATGCCCGTGCTGGGTCATGAACACAGTGTCTCTCATTTTCATTTAGCTTTTCTGCTAACAGTGCTCTACCACTTGCACCATGCTTCTGGTCCCAGCTTTTTGCTGGTTAACTATTTTATTCCTTCCCCAAACTCCCAGGCTGGCTTCAATTAGAGCAGCTAGATTATTGGCATGATTCACTGATCCCTGGTTCTTTGAATAAGTTTAATAAGTACCCAAAAATGGTTACATTGCCAGGTACCAGTAGCTCACACCTGTACTTCTAGCTATTCAGGAGGTTGAGGTCTGAGGATCGCAGTTTGAAGGCAGGGAAGTCCAGAGACTCTTAGTTCCAATTATCCACCAGAAAAGCAGAAGTAGTACTCTGGCTAAAAGTAGTAGAACACTAGCTTTGAGGGAAAATGCTTAGAGACAGCATCAAGGCCCTGAATTCAAGCCCTATGACTGACGAAAAAGAAAAAAAATGGTTAAAGTTACTTTCAATAAGTGTGTACTATTAATAGTTATATAAAAAATTCAATCTTATTCCTCTCATCTACCTGTACTCAGTGGTACACACTTGCCCAACATGTGTGAGACATAGAATTTAATTGTCCTCACTGCCAAATAGAATTGTTCTTCCACTTGTAGTTTTATCATAGACAATGTAATCATAATTTTGATTAACTTGTCCTTATAATCAATTTCAGGTAGATAGCAATGGCTTACACCTATAATCCTAGCTACTCAGGAGGCTGAGATCTGATAGTCAGAGTTCAAAACTAAACTGGGCAGAAAAGTCTGAGAGATTCTTATCTCCAATTAACCAGCAAAATGCTGGAATTGGGTATGACCTAAGTAGTAAAGCATCAGACCTGATTGAAACAGCCAAAAGAAAGAATAGGCCCTGAGTTCAAGCCCCAGTATCCATACACACACACACACACACACACACACACAATTTGAGAAACAACTAGAGTTACTGCAGAAATGTCCATATTGAAGTTCAAATAAATAGCATATAACAATGATATGCCTTAAGAAGAATATCATATTCTTGGAATTAGCCACTGTTATAATATTTGAGTATTTTCAAAATCTCATTTATGATTTTAAAGATTATCTTTTTAAACAAAGGTTTGGCAAATTTTACAATAGTTTTAGAAAAGTTATTCTAGAATGGGTAGTGAAATTTTCACTTTTTGAAATTATATGCACTCAATTTTTCAAATCATATTCAAGGAGGAATTTCAAAGAATAATAAGTGACATTTTGTGATTATAAATGATTTCAATCATATTTAAAATACTTAACCATATTTAAAACATTCAATTGTATTTTAAAATATTTAAAAAATGATATTCACATTTGTGCAAATATGTGTGTTTGTATGTGTATGTTAAACTTCCAGGTATTTTAAAGAAAGCTGAGTTCAAAATATCTAATTAGCCCAATGTCCCCTTTCATGGGGACATGAGAACATATCCAATTATCTTGAAAAAGGCAATTAAAATTACTATTAATAATCTTAATTCTAAGATGTGTTATAATTTATTTGATAATTACATTTCCCACAAAGATACTGTCAACATAAACTGTGAAAGTGTAGATCCATCCTGTTTACAAGTAGGAGAGACAATATGCTCACTGTTCTGTTGTACTTAAATGCTGTATTGCAGTTTTTCTTAACAGGCAATATGTGAGATGAAACATGTCTGATTTTATGCTTTATAACTTCCATTCTGAATATATTCAAGTAAAATATATTCAAGTACAACACATGTCAGAAAACAATTTAAATAAACTAAGAAAAATAGTAACTGTGTCTTTCATTTTAAACA